ACCCCCTTGCCTGACTGGTATTTATTTTAGAGGAGAGTTCTTCTCCCCTCAAAGTGCAGAAGTGGACTTCTGGCTTTGTTTTTATGCTAGGATTAGTGCACTACGTTTTATTTGAAAAGGAAAAGATAAAATGTGGAAGGAAAGGAAAGGAAAAAATACTTTAAGAAATAAGGAAAAAATAGCAAGAAGATTCTCTCCCCTAGGGCTCCCCTGCTTTGAAAACCCCCTTGACTTTCTCCAGGAAAATGAACAAAACCTGAAGACTTGTGTCTCTCTCCCCTCCCCTTGCTAGAGGGTCAAGAGGGGCCTATAGTCATCTCTGAAACCTACCTAGCCATCCCATAGTCACTAGGGCCCATGCCTTCCTTGCCTTTGCTGTTGGATTTCTGTTCTTTTGGGCCCTGCTTCTTCTGAGCTGCATTAGTGTTTGCACTCAGAAATCACCATAATCATGAAAATAATAATAATAAAACTGATAATCTTTAACATACTACCTAAAGGGAACCTGCAATAATCTTGAAAAAGAAGCAGAAAAAAATCCTACTGTAAGGAGAAAAAAAAGAGAAAAAATAAAATGAATTTAAAAAAAAAAGAAAGAAACCTCCGACGTATTTTATCACTACCTATAGAAAGAAACCCTGCTTTGAGAGTATTCGTAATGCGGTTTTGTTGTCGTTTGTTGCTGCTTATTTCACTAAGAAAAACCCAACAACTGAGACTGCCTAGCTCGCCGGTCCTGTGCGCTTTTATTGTGCTTCTAACCCCAGTAGAGTAGAACTAAATTGCACTGAATGTATAGTTAACTCTGTCTTGAATTCTCTGTTTATGCAATGTGCTCGAAAGGAAAAAACGTTAAAATATATCTATAATAATAATTTTTGGTCATTTGTCTTTATGTCCAGCTATGAATGTAGATTTTGTGTCCCGACAGCCCTGTTCCTGGTCCAAGTACTTTGTATTGTATACGTGAGTCATAATAAAAAAAAAAGGTGAAAAATATTTGAAGCTGGAATGACTTGGGTTTCTTTTCTCTATAACACCCCCCCCATTTTCTGCCCCCTCCCTCATCATCCCCCTTTTATCAATAGTCTGGAAAAGATTTCCACTGGTCTGGCTTTGGGGTGATGAAACTCCTGTGGAGGGCTAGGCTGGGCTGGGAGGGCAGGTGCCAGGGAAGGGGGGTGAAGAGGAGGAGAATGAGGACCCATTCACTGATAGGAAGGGGTATACTCGTATGCTCATGGGAAATCTTGGCTCCAAATAAAATGGGTTCATAGGTGTTAGAAACCCAATGGGAAGAAAGACCTCATTCATTCACCTTTTCTCTTCAGCTCTGAACTGGGCCCACACAAAGAATCAACCCATTCCCCTCCTCAGGCTATGTCTTTTTCTGATGAAGAGGAGGCAGTAGGTCTCTTTCTCATCTTCCCAAGTCCCTGTGTCCAGCCCCTGGCACCCAACACCTAGCACTGGAATGGTGAACAGGATGGGGGAAGTGTGAGGATCCAGGCAGCTGGCCTGTCAGGAGGGCTAGATGAGAAGATGCTGAAAGAGCTAAGAGACTCTGTGTGTGTGTGTGTGTGTGTGTGTGTGTGGAGGGGGTATGAAGAAGCTTCAGCCTGGGGGAGAGGGGAGAGAATGGGGAAATGGGTGAGCTGGTAGATCAAGGGGCCTAGATTTACATCCTGGAATTCAAATTCAGCCACACAGTCCTCTCCACTCCAGCCTCTGTTCTAGCTGCTTCACCTTGACAATTGGGCAGCTTGCCCCATCCTCCCTCAGTGTGGACCAGGGGTGTGTGTGGGGGAGATGGGGAGATGGGCCTACTGAGTGGACATTCTTCCATAGCAAGGATTAGGGGGGTCCATTGGACTCCATTCCCTAAAATAAAGAGTTGAAGGCTCAGGGAACTAGGGGTAAAGAGATCTCACGTTTCTCTCTGGAGGGTCCTAGACAGAGAAATCTGTTTATGTCAATAGGATTCTGGTCAAATAATCCCAAATTCCAGAGATACAAGTCTTCTGACTCAGCTAGAAGAGAGGAGGAAAGGGGAGGGGATGAAGTCTTCTGGTCTTCAAAACCAGACCCCAAAGACAGAAATATTTTTGAAGTTAGATTCATATTCTCTCTCTCTCTCTCTCTCTCATTCAATGAAGGATTATTATTTTCCCCAGACCCAGGCCCAAGCCAAATTATTGTTCAGTGTGTGTCACTGGGGATCCCAAGTTCTGTCTCCTATGGAAAGTGACACAGGATTTTGCTTCAGTAGGACACGCCCGCAGTTACAGAGAGGTTGTTGTAGGTTCGAAGTACAGGCAAGCCCTTAGCCCAGAACAGCTTTGAGCAAGAGGGCCAGGGAACTCTGTCTGGGGAAAGTAAGGTCCCAGTTGCTAGTTGAGGTGCCAGCCAGGTAGCCCCGTTTATTTTAGGAGACACACCCGTTACTGCCCAGGGGGACCCTAAAAGTAGTGCAATTCGCTCCGACCTCAGCCTTCCACAAGCGGCCCCTTCAAACTCTAAGGGACTGCTTCTGGTCCTTTCATTTGTACTATTAATAAGGAAAAAAAAGAAATATCTGGCCCAGTAGCTGAGCGGGGTGTACCCAGCCATAAGTGGCTCTGAAGGGCCTCATCGCTTACTCCTCACACCAAATGTCCTCATTCATCCCTGGCCCGGCTCAGCAATGTCCGTGGCCCCAAGCCCGACGGACGCGTCGCAGGGCGGGGTGCGTCTGGCGCCCGGCTTCCATGGAAATGTCGGGCGAAGGCAGGGTCAGACTGAAGGAACCCCAGCCGGCCCCTCACGCAGCACCCGCTTCCCCGCTCTTTCTGCTCACCGCCTCTGTTTTCTCGTTTGCAAAGAAAAGGAGGTTAAAAACCCGTTTTATGGGGGAGAACGTAATTGCGAGCGAGATACGCTTTCTTTAGAAAAATGCGTGTTTTGCCAATGGCTCCCGCCGCCCCATTACTGGAATGGGTACCATTCGGCTGCCGCAGATAGGACTTTCTTCCATTCTTTACTTTTTTATTAGCCAATCAAAGTGGCTTCCGAAAGCTATTTGTGATTTGTGAAAAATAGTATGTTTCAGAATGCTGAGTTGAAGCATCTCGCTCATTTCGCCTTGAATTTATTATTCTAATCTCAACCGTCGAGACAGGATGATGCAGCTATTAAGTTGGGGGGTAAATTCGTTTCTCTGGATGGAAAAAAATGCATATTCTCAGCGTTTTCTCTCTACGCGTTTCTCATTTCAGAGGCCAAGGGAGGTGTACACCTTGGAGAAATCTGGGTGGGTGGGGACGGTGGGTAGGGGTGGTAGTGCGCCTCTGAAAGTCTCCTTTGGGGAATCCTGGGACAGGAGGGTGGATTGGTTTCCCGCGACTCTGTCATCCCCAAATGAGGTGCTCTAGCACACTGCCTGGCGGCTGCGAAAGTTGCCCCCAACCCCAATTAGAGAGAACTCAGGACAGGCTGTGCCACAGACTAGAAGAAAAAAAAATTTCCGGTGAGCAACCCTCAGCGTTGTCCCATTCTTCCCGCTGCCCATTGTGAAAAGCTGGGCCAGAGCTTCCTCGTCGTAATTTTTAACTACCTGTTATAAAATTTATGGGTGGGTTTGTAAAAGAAACGAGGTCTCTGCATCCGGCGGAGGGAACTGCTTCGCTTACTGTGGAGGAAGTTTGAGGAGGGGGTGAAGGATTCCTGGTTGGCTGGGGCGGGGGCACCCAACCATTGAGCCTCCTTGGCCAGCTCTGTGCCGCTGGACCGAGGGGAGAACTGTGGGCCCTCAGATCTCCAGCTATGGGGGGCGGGGAGAGAATGGTTGGGGTATAGAGCCTATGAATAGTCTCCATAGAGGATTTTTTTCTGGACCCCCATCATCTACTACCCACCAAAATTAGGGTTCTGGGAAAATGAGGTGTTCAGAAATTTAGTGCAGAAGGTAGGAGTCACGGTGAGATATTCTTTTTTTTTTTTAAACAGGGACTCTGAAGCCCAACCCTCTTGCTCTGACACCAAACGAGTACATAATAATAATAATAATGGCAGGTGGGTGTCAGCAACTTTGACCTGTGAGAACTAAAAAGATTGCAAACTGTCTTGCGTCTCAAACAAACAAAAAAAAAGTGGGATCACCATCTTGACCCTCAATTTTTTTAAGGCTAAAAATAAATGTAAGTTGGTTATTAGAAACTAGGAATTTAGGGGACCTGAAGCCAGGGATGGTCTCGGTTATTCTGCCAGAGGAAGGGACCACCTGGGGATGAAGGTGGTTCCCTTGAAGAGAGTCCTTGGGGCTGCATCATGATTTCACCCCTCCTGCTGCCTCCACCAGATTGTCTGGGCTGGTCCAGCCTTTGCTTTTTAGAGCACATCTAGAGTAGGCTTGGTTGGGAGTTGGTCAAAGGCCTAAGACTACCGTTCTTTCCTGTCTGGGGTTCAGTGAGAGGTGGGGGGGGAGCAGGGAGAGGCGCACCCTGGTAGGGAAGATGTTTTTTTTCCTAGGGGGAAGAAAAAAGAAAGAGATAAGCACAGGAGGGTGTTCCTTTTCAGTCCCTTTACCTCACCAGACTTCACTGCCCCAAGGCTACAAATCTTTGCAAAGCTTTAATTCCCTCAGATCTATCCCTATTATCTCCATTTATTAAGAAAAATACTTAAAAGTCGGTATGTGGAAGAAGAGGCAGCCACCCCCCAGCATGTGAACCCTGCCTTCTTTCCTGCCTGGATCCCTTTTCTGTGCTTTCCGCGCTGGCTTGGAGCAGACGGCCAGTGGGGAGTGGGCGGTGGGTGGGGGTGGGCTGGGGGTCGCAAGGATGCTCCCTTTCTGAGAGAATTGGGTAAACATGGCGACCGCGGCGCCCATTTGCACACGCTACACAAATGCATCGCATTCCCGGTTGTTTGCAGAAAATTTACAGCTGAGTAATAAAAGTTTACGATCGACTCACAAGTTGGATTGGCCACAAGAAGTCATGTGGATTCCATCCATGAACGTGAACTTTTTATTGTGGTTTGTCCGTTCCGAGCGCTCCGCAGAGCAGTCCTCCCTGTAAGAGCCTAACCATTGCCAGGGAAACCTGCGCTGGGCGCTTCCTTCATTACTAGTAATTTTTTATTAATCTAATTAATAATTATTTTTCCCCTATTTAATTTTTCCCCTCCTCCCAGGTGGAGTTGCTGGAAGCTGGGGTGGGGGAGACCTGGGGAGGGCGGGGTGGGAGGGGAGAGGCTGGAGTTGGGAGCATCTCACCCTCTCTCCTACCCGACCCTCTGGCCCCCCAAGGGGCAGAAGGAATGCAGGAGTAGGAGTTGGGATCGAGAACTGCGGATGCCTCCACCCCTCCCCTCTCCCAGACTCTCCCTCCTGCCCCCTTCCTGCAACTCTCCTTAATTTTATTTGGCTTTTTGATGATCGTGACTATTTTTTTTAATTTTTAAAATTCATACAAAATATGTGTGTGTATGGAGCTGAGACAGGCTCGGCAGCGGCACAGAGGAAAGACGAGAAAGACAGAGAGTGGGAGAGAGAGAGAGGCAGAGAGAAAGAGAGAGAGAGAGGGAGAGAGGGAGAGTGACAGCAGCGCCGGGTAAGTGTTTCCTTATTGGTTCAAATATGTAACTAATGGTCCGTAGCTGGGTGGCGGTTTCAAGATAAGGACAGCAATGACTTGTCTTGCTTAGAGGGAAGAGGTGAGAGGGTGGGCGCTTGGGTGATTATGGGGAGGAAGAAATGGGGGCGGGGAGGAAGAGGGTTAACTGAATACTGGTGAGTGGGAGTGGGGCGAATGTGTTGTCTTGGTGTCACCGTGCGCCGCAGTTGGGGGCCAAGAGGACTTGGCCCACGGGGTGCAAGCCCCGGGTTTAGAGCGAGGGCCTTCTGTTGGATGCCCTGTGTGGTCTGTAGTACCTGCTTTATTACAGAATCCTCCTTGTCTTGGCTAATGAGACTGGGACCGAGGGGCCTTGGAATCTCAAACTCCAGGGCACGAGAAAGAACCTGTAAGCTGTGCCCATTGCCCCTAGAAGCAACGTCAGCCCCTCAACCCCCAAACAAACTTTCCAGCGCCCCCTCCCAGTCTGGCAGCCCCCTCCCTCCCAGAGAGGGAGTCTGGCGAAGCTCACACATGCGCAGTGTGAGCTCAGGGCTGGGCTCAGGGAGCAGGAAGCGAGCGCGCAGCTAGGCGGGCGGCGGGGCCTGTTAATTGGCAATTAGGGGGGAGGCTGGTGGCTGGTGTGCGTCAGCTGAGGGGGGGGAGAGCGTCTGCCCACCCCTTGCTCCCGCCCCCACCCGGCTGGATGGAAGGGTGGGAGGTGCCCTGAGCTGCGGGTGGAGGAGTTGGGGAGGAGGGGGGGGATGCAGTAAGCAAAAGCCATTTTGTGTTCGGAGAGGCCTACCCGGCTTTCCTTCCCAGGCCTGACGGATGCCCTGCCACCCTCCAACTACCCCCAGTCGCGGCCACTCTACCCGGGATGCCCACAGAACTGCTGCCTCCGCCTCGCGTGGCTGCTCTTAGACTAGGACCTGCCCTGTCGGGGAAGAGATGGGAATGACAGAGGCCCGGGGCTGGGCGGGGACAGGCCCAGGCCCGGCTTGGCAGGGCCTCCCGGGTGCCACGGAGGGCTGCCAGCTGTTACGGGGAGGGGGCGTTGGGGAGGGACGGTGAGTTCGTGCGGTAGGGGCGTCGGAATAGGGTGGCCGAGGGAGCCCTGGGCGCTTAGGATCTCGCTAATAATTGGTGCTAATGGCGTGTTGTATAGGTTTAACCTGACACATATGGTTTCATAACACAGTGGCTTAATTTCTTCCAAATGTACGTGGCCCTGACAGTGCTGTAATTTGATCTATGACCCCGCCCTGCTCTCCCCCCTCCGCCCCCGACTGGGGACAGTCTTACACGTGTGAATTTGTGTCTTCTAAAGAGCGACAACGCACAAGCAAATGCTTATACAACCCAAGCAGTTACACCACAGAGCTGGGGAGGGGGACATAGTCTTGATCAGGTCGGAGGGTGGGGGTGGGGGGTAGAATCAGACTCACCTTCTATCCAGATCAACCATACCCCCCCACACACACACATCGAGGTGCTGCTCTCCCAGGGGCGCCACGGGGATTCTGCGCCAAGCCTGTGTGGGGGGAGGGGAACGCGCCTCGATTTCCTGTTTAAACCCTGACCCTCGTCGTCGTCGCTTGGGGAGGGATAAGAGTGGGGGAGGAAAAAAAATCTGGCTTTATCAAATTGTTGGGTTTAAAAAAAAATACAGTTCGTCTGCATTCAAATCAAACCCCTTGGGCCCCTTGAGCGTTGATGGTGAATCCTTGCTCCCCTCCCCCAACAACCCCCTTCGCTTCCTCTCCTGCCCCCCTAAAATTTCCCTTTCTCAGTCGGCATAAAGGCCTCCGAGGTATTCTCCCAGGGGAAGAAATGGCATTTTCTCTCCCCCTCCCACCCCACCCCCAATAGGACTAGTGTGTCGGCTGAGGCGTCTGCCGAGGGGCTAATTTCGCGTTCCTTGTTTACGATCGAGAAAAAGCGCTTGGCTCTCCCCAAATGGGCCCAGCTCGCCGCCTGCTCCGGCTGCAGCGCGCTCTCCTGCTGCCCAGGCCGGGTCTGGGAGCAGACGCCCGCAGCAACCAGGTTGCGGCTGACCGGGTTCAGAGTCTGTGGGGACCTGAAAGGGACCAGGGGAGAACGGTGGGACGGTGGAGGGGCCTGAGAGGCCCGAAAATGGGAGCCTTTCTCCTGGCATAATGTGGGAACCGCCAACCGGTGAGGCCACTATTTCTCTCTTTCGCTTGTATTTTGTCTGCCCCTCCCCACCCCAGTGGATGAACTCCCTGAATTGTGTGCGTGTGTGTATGGGGGGGGGGGGACGACACAGGTCTTCTTTGTTCTTCCTTGAAAGAAAACCATTTCCGCAGAAGGGCTATCCAGGCCAGTAAGATTCACCTGGAATATTAGAGGGGGGCCCCCTCCCATGGGATGGGCGGGCCTGGGCGAGGCCGAGGTATTTCTCTAGGCCTACAAGGGTCGAACTTAATGTGCTAACTGTGTGATATCGGCGTGCTAGGATGCAAGGTTATTAGTTAACAGCACCATTCTGAGGTGTCCTTATATATTATTTTTTAATCGATTTCCTATCCTTGTCTTGCTAGTATTGTTCAGGTCCCCTACCTTACCCCATGCCCTTCACCCCTGGCCTCCTTCTTGGGGAGATAGAGAGATACAGACTTAGTGCCTGGCCCTATTTTTTCCAATTTTCCCATCTGGCCAGAGTATAAAGCCCCTCTCTGCCTCTGCTTCCTAGTTACTTTCAATCCCTTCACTCCCTGCCTTTAACAGGAACTCAAGAGGAGCCAGCAGTGGCAATCCTTAACCTCCCTGCAGCCCAGATTCTCTGTAGATGTGATCCTCACTACAAGGGAGTTCTTCTGTGATTATCTAATAATAGCCAGAGTAGCCCAGAATAGAATTTGGCTCAAAGACTCTGCACATCCAAGGACTAAGGCTGGGCAGACACAGAATCTGTGAATTAAGGCCTGGCAACTATCCCCAAAGCCCAGGGCCCATGCATTTCCCCCTTCTCCCCCAACTGAGCCCACCCTTTAGGTACCCTCTGGTCTGCCCCTTAAAGGGTTTTGTGAGCCCTACTATCTGCTGTGTTTCATGCAAGGGTTCCTAATCATGGAGAAATGGGCAGAGCAATGATGCCTTTCCCTCTGTGGTTTGACAGTTGTGATCCCCACAGAGAATGTGACCTTGGTTGGAAAAGACGACCTTGTTGGGTCCGCTGTTCTGTTCTGAAACCAGGCTTGGTGGCTTTATACATTTACTACATACAGGTTCAAATGTACAGGTTCAAGACTTATGTAGGAATATAGAGAGACTCATATTTCCTTGTGGTTAATTGTATATTACCATGGCTATATACGTTCAAACACCGTTTTATGTGCATGTGAAATTTTGTTAACCCTCGGTGGAAGAGAATGGGGCACTCAGGAGGCCTCTGTGCTGTTCTTCTGGAAATATATATGTGTGCTGAAATCGGAATATGCGGGTTCCAATACCAACGGATGCCCACAAGGGCTTTTTCAGGTGTAACGATTTTGCTGTCTAAGCCGCCTGGCTGGAAAATACTAAACCCCTCTGTTCTCCCTCCTCGCCTCCTTACAGACTCTTCCAACAGTACAGATGATCTCTCACAAAGTGATTTTGGTCATCTTGAAAGTAAGGTCTATGGCCTCTTTTGTAGGTGTTGCAGACCTGTATGCAGTTCTGCAGTTCTGAGCAGATATGGTTGGGCCCTGGCTTTACAAGTCTCCCTGGGGTTTCCAAAGGATTAGAGTGGTTAATAAGGTGGCCTCCAGGCAGTGGTTTGTGGTGGCTATCAGCCAAGGAGCTTGGAGAGGCTGGTGCAGAAGGCAAGCCAGAAGGAGTGGATTGTGGTGAATGAAATCTCTTCTCTTTGCTGCTGTTCAACCCACACCAGATTTGTCTGTGTCTGTAGGTACAGATTGAGAGCTCTCTAAGGTTCTCCAAATATTCAAATCTGGTTTCTGGTGGGACTGTATTTTAATCCTGTCTGCTACCTGAGCCAGGGTGAGGCCAGGTTAAGAGAGAAAGGTGGTGACCACCACTCTGGAGTCAAAGCAGGGCCCTACTGCCTGTGGGCCTGGAGCACTGAGTGTGGGCCTCCGTGGGCTTGCATTTAACCTCCTTTCGCAGGCTTTCTTACTTCTCAGGCCACCAAAAGACCAAGCAGAGGGCAAATAAAAATGAGGATCCTTGCAGGACTGTTGGGGTTTCCTGCTGCTGACAAGACTGTCACGTTCCTCCCAGAATCTCTTGTCCTGACTTGCTATGGCGTGAGGCCCTGATGCTTTCTTCCAGGTTCTTTCCACCATCACTGAGTGTGACCTCAAGCTCTTAGGCCTCAGTCACCCAGGGTGCTGAGGTGATATTATTACAGGACCATGCCCCTTATTCAGCCCACAGACTACCACCGAAGGCTGGGCGCCTGCAGCCGCCCCTGTTTATTGTGTCTGTGAGTTGTTTACTTGTTTTGTCTGCTGCCACCCTGCGTCAGAAACCCGCCAAACCAGCAAATTCGCCTAGGAGAACAAAGTGCAGCGCTATCTCCAACTCCCTCCCTTTTCCCACCCCTACATGCTCTCCTGTTCTTCCCTTCCCCAGGGAAGGAAGCAGAAATCGTCCTAAAATAGGGCAGCTGTTGATAGGGTGGAAGAATTACAGTGATACCATAAACCTCCCAGTGTCCTGGTAGAAGAGACTTAAGAACAGCCTTACTCTTGCTTCCAGCTTTTCTTCCTTCTCTCTGGGAACTGCTTGGTTAAGGGGGCCAACAGTCATTGAAAAATATTGAGCTCCTTCCTCACCCCATCCCTCTATTCCTTTCTGGAGGAGTTTCTCTGAAACTCAGATGGTTGGTTTTTCATTGGAAGAATGTTGGCAGATTCCTAATGCATGTACCTCTTCCCCCCCCCTTTGCTCTCTTCAGTGCCCCAAAACAGCAGTGAATTTAAGCAAATCCTACAAAATTAAATTGTCCCTTCTTTAAAGCTGTTATA